ACATTGCTTCCATAGGCAGTAATCACTTTATTTTAGAAGCAGAGTGTCATTTATTTGGAGTCTGCTCATCATCGCTCGCTTTTAAACTTCTGTTCAATTTAAATAGAAAGGTAAGCCTTTTCATAAATCATTATCATTTGTGGCCACAAAATTAAATTGACACATCGGTTTGATATTTTGATTTCCATTTGTCCTATTGTATTTATGCATTTAACGAATTTATTTATACGTGACTTAAAGTTGGTTATTGTACTTTACCAATAACTTGTTTTTGAGCAATAACTTACGATACCTTATCCTCTGGAGTAGATGGTAGGATTATCCTTTATAGATATCGTTTAAAATAAAAACAATTAAAAAAAGGTTGTCGTGAAACAACAGTTCTAAAGAGTATTTCATAAATATTTCAACAAGTTTATCTTCAAGGTTTGTTAGTATACTAGTGGCATGATGTCATTTTGTGTACACTGCACTTTCTATTTCGAGATCATTATCCGATCTCGATTCTACGAAGAAATGTGGACAAATCATATCCCAGAATTTTAAGGATACAAGCTGAAATAAAAAACTTTTAAAATAACAATTGAATTTTTGAATTTATCATTTTGTATTTGCAAGTACGTTGTTAGCTTTCAGTTGAAAATTATGAATATGAAACAAAATCCTTAGTAACATAAGTAAATATAACATTCTTTCCAGATCTTTAAGCAAAGATGTTATAGATAGATATCTATTCAGGCCTATTTATGAATTAATTACTTTTTGTACTAAAAGATCTGTCAGGGGTTGCGCAAGCAGGGATAGGGCACCGTCGGAAAGAGTTCCTCCCCCTACCCCGTCGAGGAGAAAAACCACAATTTGTTAGGGAGAAAAAAAAATCAAATGTATTTTCTACATATTATTAGACTCTAAAGTCGATTAAAAAAGCCTAGAAAATCCTAAAATTTCATATTTTTCGGGGCTTCTCTGGACCACATCCGAAATATTTTAAGCGGCATTGCCCCCCCCCCCCACTCGGGAACATCGGATTCCCCGTCGGGCAAATGCTGGCGCTACCACTGCTGTAAATCAATGAAAACCTATTTTTGTTTTACTTGTATAGCGTCAGAAATTGAATGTTTTAATTTTCCATATTTTCTACTGACGATATAATCTTATCTTTATTTATCAATGTTTATGTGTATAGGTTGGAATATCGTGACTCAAAATGTTGACCCATACTTGCCTTGTTATAATAGCAGTTTTAACATGTTTTGGTAAGTAAAATACTTACTTTTATATTGAACATTATACAGTGATGTAGTTTATAAACTTAATTCGATTGTTTGCATTTTGCTAAATCGCGTATCAAACGTCGTGATTCATCAATTACTTTGTATTTCTATTTAAGTTATTAACAGATTTCCTTTGATAATTAAAACTAAATAAAGTAATTTTTCTCGCCAATCAGTAATCACCCCATAAATTTGTTTCTATCTCTTGTTTATTTCATTATCTGTATGGGAATCCTTATCGCTCAATGGCCTTTTTATAAGTCTTAAAAACGTACATTATTTTCGTATGAAATCTATTATTAGGTCTATTATCTGTGTTCTCCTTAAATAGAATTCTTTAAATCGATAACTGATTAAAAAATTATTTCAAAATGTTTATAAATATTTCTGTTTATATTGCAGCGGAAACAAACGCCATCATGTGCTACAATTGCACGAGTAAAATCGACCGTAATTGTGGTGTCACACTCCCTTATAAAAAAGCGATACAGAAAGTAGAGTGTACAGGTCAATGTGCTGTAAGTATATACATTTTTGTTGGCCTACCGTCATTAATGAAGTTCGTATATAATTTATATCAGTGGTGGCACCAGGACCTGCCCGACGGAGGGGCTAAAGGCCCGACGGGAGGGGGGCTAGTGGAGCGAATCGAGTATCACTTGGCTGGGGGCCAGGGGGCCGCCTAGGGCCCCCGGTGGGGGGATATTTGATGAATTATGGCGAATTTTTATTACTTATTTGTAATTTATTGCATATTGCATTTATTTAGGTATCGAGTTACTATAATATGACTTCATGTAGGCTATGCTTTCTAATGTTGAAATCAGCTTCCAAAATCAAAACATTTTGAATAAAGCAAGAAACAAAGAGTATGCAATGTAACCATCTAATTTTTTTTTAAACCTCATTCTTGAAAGTGAATTTCTATATTTTGGAAATTTTGCATGAAATCTGTCAACCACGCTGTCATGGTCGAGGTTGCTTCACCTATCACGATGTATCATCATGAGGCTATCTAAATGAGCATTTGTCATAACAGAAAGCAAATTATTTTTAGTTAGTCACATTGAATTATTATCATTATTATTATTTTTGTTATTGTTGTTGTGATGAAAAGTTAACACAAACAATACGGTGGCCAAACGAATATTACATGTAAATTTTTTTTTAAATTTGTTTCCCGACAAAATTTATCGTCTTCTCCGACGGGGGGGCTAACCTTCCCCGACAGGAGGGCTATAGCACCCCAGCCCCTCTGGCGCCACCACTGCCAAGAAGTCTCTTTCAGTGGCAGTCCTCACGGTATCCCACCAGTTTGTCGAAATCCAGTTTGTTGAAACCCGGTTTGCCGAGTTTATGTCCACTTTGCCGAAAACCAGTTTGCCGAATTTAGTTTACCGAAAACATGAGAACCCAGTTTACCGAAACCCAGTTTGCCGCCGATTCTTGTCGTCACCGTTGTACAAAATGCAGCACACTGTGCAGTATAAAACAGTATGCTGACGTGTGGACACAATAACAAATTGTAAACTAAACACCTTTTTACCCAAACACTCGCGTATAAGACGAGGCTTAAAATAGCAATTTACGATCGAAAAGCAAGGGATCGCATTATACGACAGACAAAACTCGTCACAAAAAGCGTCTCCAA